AAAGACGATGAGCACGTTTGGTTGGACACACTTGCTGACATGGCTAGGAGCCGACCTTAGTGGCGTTCGTGCTGTGACTTTCTTTGTCCCACCCCATCCCTCTTAGCCTCCCCATCCAACCACGATCTCATTATTTAGCCTTATATAATTTTGCAGAGCAATTTTTTTGATGCACAGTAGCCGGCTGGTAGCTTACCAGAACGGTGCCCATCCGTTACCAGTAGTTCAGCCGGCTTGCATCAGATGCATTTTTTCTCCTTTTTTCTGTGTATTGCGGCACAGTAGCTGAGGTGTCCCCCACCTCTAGCTAACGTGTATGATGATGGTCTGTAGATTTCGTGAATCCATACTTTTAGTGTGAACAGAGGAGAATAAAGCACTTATTCTCCTAAGAACGTAGATAATAAGAAGCAGCAGTATAATCCAGTGACGACACGCCTGAGTCAAGTTAGCTCCTTTGTTTCATACAGTGCCATGAACCAGTGCTGAAAAAGTCTGGTGATCATTGCTGTGGTTACAGTGAATCGATGGCAACGGCGTGGTCGCTGGTGCACTGGCAGGCAACAACGATGCATTTCTGGCACATGGGACACTGTGGTGAACAGGAGTAAGTATAGCAGAACGAACCAGCATCAGACACGTGAGTTTCATCGCAGCAGAAAATGCGCGGTGTGCAAAGAAGGCAAAAGGGATGTGATGCAACGGTGGAGATCGTCAGCATGATGACCACTAGAAATAATCATCATCATCGTCGTCATAATCAACGTCAACAATACACGCTAGCTGAGGGTAAGAAACACCTCATGAACTGTGATGCAATGCAAAACGTAAGGACAATGAAAACTGAGATAATAAACACTAAGGAATACAAAAAAGCAAAAAGGAAAAGGTGTAACGCTAAGCATCATATTATATACGAATGGAGTGAGATTGTGGTTAGAGGGGGAAGATAGAAAAGGAGGGAAAAACAAGCCGCTGGTGCCGGTTTTACGCCATGTCAACAAGTGTATCCAACATACGTATCAGAGTCTGAGCAGCTACGTGTTATGATCACCAAGGTAGCGCTGTGTCAGACTGATTGACTGTCTAGAAAAACCTGACAACTCTGACTGGTCGATCAAGAAGGCAAGGTTGCAAGTACGAAACATAATTACACGCTGCACACTACCAATATTTGAATGCACTAGATGAAATTCCTGAAGGTTCTCTGTTCTTTACTATTGTTTACCTACCAATAATAGTATCAGATTGTCCGACAACATTCTCTTGATTAACCGATGCGATTATTCGACTAGTTTTGGAGAAAAAGAATGGAGTTTGATCGGTGTAGGTTTCACCGATTCATTCCCTAGAAGGTGCTCCTCCTAACATCATGTCACCAGTAACAATCACAGTAGTATATTTTTAGCCATATGGAGAAGACGAAAGGTAATGAGAGAAATCCCTTTTGAACAACAGTCATCGGAAGTCGAACCGCATACATGCAGTTGTTCAAGGACACCCAGTCGAGTTGACCGCCTTTAACATGTTTGCCGAGGGCGACACCGACATCGCAAAAGCGTGAAGCGTGCAGCAGATTCAGAACCAGAGAGTCGAAGATTCGTCACGACGCCGTTATCTAGTATGCGTGTTCCTGGGACAGCATGCATCAATACCAAGAAAGTGAGGAATGAGAGTTAGTGCTGTCTGTTGATTGATCTGACCCAGAATGCGGACGTTCACTGTCCGGATAGTGGATTGACTCAGAGCTTCTACCAGCTGAACGCGCAACCGACTTAGAGTACGCTGATGAGATTGCTTTATTTGGTGACGATCCAGAATATGCAAATCATTCTGAATAGTTTAGCGGTCGAAGTATCTAAGTATGACATGAGCTTTGCCCCATTGAAGTGTAAAGTGTTACTATAGGATTGGTCCATAATTGCTCCGTGCTCACCTCTGGAGGTAGACAGTCCCGCTTCCGTTGGGAGCTGCGTTTCTGCTGGCGGTCCTATAAGCAAGGGAGTTTCTCTTCGCAGCGCTAAAGTCCAAACAGCATTTGTTAATCTGAACAGCAGGAGACTTGGTGTTAACGAAAAACTACGCGACGAGAGGGGACAGCGTATCCAGAGTTTGTCAAAACGCTTGGAAAGTTAGGCCGAATACTTTGTAAGGCACTTTAACAATTCTGAATTAGCACCTGCTTTTTCGAAAATTAAGCGCTTTTCGCCATGGAAAGAAGAAAGGCATCAGCAGTACGCCGGTACGCAGTACGGAAGCCTCGCTCCCGCGCAACTCCTATCGGTCGCACGCGTGTTAAGGATACTGCGAGGGTCGCCCTCCCCATATGCAGGCTCGAACCCACGTCGCCAGATTACAAGACAAGCTCGTTACGTTTGGGCTACGGACCGTCTCCTTGGAGATGCACTTACGCGCAGAGGTCAAACGTGAGAACAGAATGTCGAAATTGCATAAGGCTGCAGAGGCAGAAAGAATTCCCCCAGCGCTCTTCGAATTCGAGGTAACTGCTCTCTAAGATGATCTACACGAGTTCCTAGTGACACTTTGGAAGCAGGAAACTGTCTCGACAGACTGGAGATGCTCTGTCATAGTCCAAATTTTTCAAGGGAGGCTTTCGTTCATAATGCGGTAACCATGCTGACGTGTGAATTGATGCACGCAATGAACCAAGGGAAGCCTGTCGACGTGATCTACATCGATTTTAGCAAGGTGTTCGACCAGATGAATCATGAAGTCCTCCTTCTAAGTGTGTGGTGTTGGTGGATCTTTGCACCAGCGAACCCAGGACTTTCTTGTTGGACGAAAGTGGAGGATACAAGTTTATAGCCACCTGAATGATTGGTATTCTTCGACTAGTGGCGCACACCAAGGCACGGTGCTGGGGCTTACATCGTTCCTGATTTATATCAACGACCTAACTCAGCTTCTTCGGTCGACGTGTGCCCTGTTTGCAGACGATCTGAAGAGATGGAGAGTGATAAGCACACCAAACGACTGCTGCTTACCACAACAAGACCTAAGCCATCTTTCCGTGTGGTCTGCAGAAGTCCGCCTCTCGTTCAACGCATCCAAATCGATATTCATGAGCCTAGGGAAGGGTGGTGACGGCCGAAATTACACTCTCGACGGCCAACTGCTACACTCCACACCTTCTTTGAAGGACCTAGGAGTACTCTCACGTTGCGACTTGAAGTCCGCTGACAACACGAGCAGGCCATATTGTAACGGACTGCGTATGCTCTGGGAATTCACACCTACTTTCTGCATCTGGTTCGAAGAGGTGGAAACTCGCCTCTCCACGGGGGTGCGGTTGAAGGACGGGAGACCGAGCGATGACTAGATCCGGAGAAATGAAAATTGTTACGCCGAGGTTGGCGTCAGTTGGTGCATTCTGACGGCTTGGCTGACAGTTTAGCATTATAGTACTAGCTTTCTGAAGTATCTGTAGTGTAATTTAGTAGTATCTTATATTGTTGTATTACGGCACATTAGCTGTGATGTGTTTCACGCTCAGCTAACAAGTATTGATGATGATGAGCTATCAATCTGAGGCACCTGTGGCGTCGTCGTAACATCTCCATTTCCATAAAAGGCCGCGTTTACAGTGCCTCTGCTGTTTCGGTATTGTTTTTTTGGGAGCGAGTCCTGATCAATTCGCGTAGAAAGCATGAGCCGACTTTGCTGGAGGATCGCTGATGTGTAGTGGAAACACTGAGTTCACAGTGATGACGTTAGACTTCGCGACCTCGGGGAGATGAGTATTCACTTAAATAAGCTGCTTTTGCAGGGCCAGTTAAGATGGTTCGATCACGTCCTACGCAAAGCGCCTGAGCGTTTCCGCGTCGCGCCGCATTTGCTCGTACAGGACTCGGCTGGACGCAAACGCGTGGTGGTGACAGTATATGAAATCGCTGACATCACGTTTACTCGCCGTTGAACCCATACGCCTTCCTGGATGGGGACCCAAGGGCCAGGATTACCAATGGTTTGACACGCTCGAAGAAATGGCAAGCAACTGGGACCAATGGAAGAATAATGCACAAAACTGCATTATCTCCCAAATTCAACACCTCAAACATTGAAAAAAGAAAAGATCGGCGAGTGAAAAACGTTTGCTGGTCAAACTGCACTTCGCTTTAATTTCCATGTTTTTTTCGATGGCTCCGGGTCGTCTGCTTGGACTGTTAATTATATACGTATATATACTACACACTATTTATGTGCTATATAATATTCACATAACATATAGTATTCCATTTTAGTTTATTTGCTGTTCTGTTAATCGGTTGAAGAATCTGTCAGTTGTACGTATTTATCTTTCCTCGAATTTTGTGTTGGATTTTTGATATCCCCGGTTTGGCTGCTCTTCATGTGAGTGTTGACAAAGTGCCTATCTAACACCCTCCACCTCGATTAATGGCTCCAGGGAAGGTGAACCGTTGCTGGCGAAACGGGGTACACGTTCCTCGTGACCGTGCTGAGCTCAGAGTGGTTGCATTTAGTTTGGTGCGGACTACGGCTTCGCCACCGCCTAGTGCACGTCTGATACGCATGAATTCCCACAAAGATAGACAGGAATGCTGCTACTGCGGTGCATGTTGCAGGAGCGTGGGCCGGATCCGTTGATGAAACATGGCTCGCATCCACATGCCTCCTTATCTTATTACTACGAGTTGACAGTGAATATGGTTGTGCGAATGCAGCTGTGCGTGGAGCAGCGCAAGCCATCCATGGTCACTGTGTAGGCGTAGGCGTCCTGTGGCTATCCTATAGAGGCCGCTGTGACAGGTAAATCCGGAACCGGATGCCGTCAATTATATATATATATATATATATATATATATATATATGGTTGGCGACATCTAAAATTTTAAATAAGAAAGATACTAAGATCAAGATTAACGTGGAAAAGGTAAGGACAAACAGAAATCATTAAACGCCCAATGCCAACACTTGTTCAAGGTTGCAATTCTTGAAATTAGCAAACATGAGTAACTTGCCCGATTGTGTGTTTCAGTGTGCTTCACAAGGTTGTTGAATAATTGTTTATCCTGAAAGGATGAAGGTAGACGCTTGTGAAGTACACAATGATTTAATCGTTAGATGGTATACAGGGAAATAATATAACTGGGACGGAAGCATAGTATGCTTGGACTGGTTGGAAACAGTCGAATAGTATATGGCAAAGTTGAGAACGCAAATGTTTGTCAAGAGAAGTTTTAACCATGTATGAGGGAAGTCAGACATGGTCAAAGTGGGAACATTTCATTAGAGCCGCACACCGAGAGCGAGAAGAAACGGCCAAACAGAGTCACTCCGATAACTTTGGACAAAGAAAGCAAACTGGCGTTCCGAAACGCCAGTCCTCTATAGAGAATAAGGGATGACGGTTACTAGGAAAAATCTAATACCATGGAGAAGTAACGCCATGAATCGCGAGGAAATGAAGGTGTGCGCTGGTGAGCCACCACAATATCGTTCAATGAATCACAAACAACCCAAAGTCAGCAACTCAGGATTCGAAAACTGTCGTTTAGGACAGAATACAGCCAAATATTCGTCAATTCAAGATAATCGATCCCAGGCAAGTGCAAAAACGTAGGTGCAAAACGTACTGCGTGGTGGTTCCTAAGTGTGGTGGGAGCTGGATCATGACGCAGTTATCCAGTTAGCTTGAAATAACAATCAAAGTAGATAACATCAAAGAGAAGCAGAAAACAAGAGGGAATTGGAGAAAACTGAAAGTGAACACTAGCACTTCGGATAGAAGCGATGGCAGTTTGAAGAATGGAACTGAGTTTAGTAATTCCACGAAAACCTAGCTTACGGTATGTAAATAAATCCTAGACAGGAAAGAACAACCCACCAGTAATGAGGTCAGTTTTAATTGCGAAAAGCCCGAGGGCCACATGATGTCTCCGACAGTTGGAGCACCAAACTGGATAAGTGGTCTGCCACTGTCCACCTCAACCTAGACAGCCATTGCTCAAAAAAGTGCACATCAACCGAATACCAACTGTGGTTGGATGTGGACGCAGGTGTGTCAACTACTACAGTCCAACTTGCTACGGCGAGCAACTAAAAACATCCCCAACGTTTTCTTCTAAGAGTAATATCTCTATGTATGAATCTGTTCATAGCGACCACATTTTGTCTGACCCTTGAGTGGTCACCTTAGACAGACTTGACTGTACGAGCAAAAACGCATGAATTTTTTGGTTTCTTCAAGGCTGCGTGTGACCGGTATGAAGCAGGTATGTGGGAATTTGCAAGCATACTCCAGAGCTGAACATGATCCCCAAAGTCTTAAGCCAGACTGTTAAGCCGAGGTCTAAGAGTGGGGCACAAGGAGAAAAATCCCTCACACATGTTCACAAGCAGAACAGCGCTGCTGAATTCATAAGCCACACCAGCAAAGAAATCGCGTCGCCTTTAAAAGTTAGAGTACTATTCTACGGTGGTCGGTCAAGAACCGCGCAATGTATCAGATAAATCAACAGGCTGCACTCGATGTGACTTAAGATTACCTAGTAGCTGAGGTGCGTTGTCTCCAAAATGCGCAGGCAGGACGGCAGCGACCTAATTGCATTCGCGCTTACTAGACCCGGGTTCCGGGACTCATGCGATTTGCGACTCCGGTACTGTCGAATCCGCCGCTAGAAGCCTTTAGTTTCGGAATCGCTCTCGGTACATGTACTAAGACTTTTTTTCTAAAATGTATCCCAGTGAATAGTCGCATGTGTCACTCGACTTTAAAGTCCAGCGAGTCAACAGACGGTGACAGAGGGCCAGGTTCATTTTCGCTGTCGCAAAAAAACTTGTCGGACACACCCTTCTTTAGTAGACAATCCCACAAAACAGCTGTCTACTGAATCGAATGTCGCGCGGATGTCCAGGAACACTACGATTGTTGGTCGAAAATATGTCGGAGCGTAAAGAGTTGATCAACGCAAATTCGGGCTGGGCGAAATCCGGCTTATTCTTCTCGGGAAAAGCTCTTTCTGATAGAGGAAGGCCTGCGGAGATAGCCACAAAAATCTCGGAAGCAACTGAGGTCAGTGAGATACCGCGGTAATTAGCGCAATCTTTGCGGAGGGCCTTCCTTGTGAAACGGGACAACGAGTGAGTTTCCCCATGAGTTGGGGATTTTCTCATTAGTCCAAATCTTTGTGAATAGTGAGAGCGATTTGTTGACAAGTATATCTCCACAATCTTTGAAAAGAGCCGGAAAAAAGCTGTCAGGGCTAGCAGCTTTATGCCATTTCAAAGAACGGATTGCGCTTCGGATCTCTTCTTCGGTAGGAGGGTCACTGCGGACAGGCCAAGCAACATCTGATGGAGATGGTGGTGTCACAGAAAGAAGTGCTGGGTAGTTAAATCGAAGAGCAAAATGCTATGCCCAGCGCTCTAATCGCCTCTGTAAGTTGGTGATTTTTGTGCCGTCTAACTCATAGATTGTCTGATTGATGGCGTGCGAATTGTAACCGGTGACCTTGATGGGACGAAACAAACTGCGACAGTTTCCAACCGATGCAAAGGCCTCCATCACAGCAGCATGCCTAGACCACTAAGATGCACGGTCAGAGCGAAGGCTTGCTTTAAATTGCAGAGAAATAGACCGACGGCTTTCCGTGCCAGTGGGCACGGCGCGTCAACGATTTAGAAGTTCCGAGGAAGTTGCTGAAATCCAGCTTTTATCTGGACAGCGGATGAGGCCACAGCTGGACAAACCTGCGGAGAGCATGGTGTTTTGCAGGCTTAACCAGTATTGGTCTGCATCCAGAGAAGAGGTGGGGGCAAGGTTTTCACGAAGCTTCTGTCGGTACCCTGCTTGTACTGCAACATCTTTCAATTTGCAAGTGTTCAGTCGGGCTTGTTTGGCCATTGAAGAGCCACCGAAGCGCATGCAAACGGTCGCGCACACCAATACATGATCGGTTTCTACACAATTAGACCAGTATGATCAGAAATCGCGTATGCTTCCACGCCACCGACTTATGAATATGTGCTCAATTTGAGACCAACGCTGGGTTGATAATGGAGGACGCCAGGTAACAATGTTGCCTGGGGTGATGAAAGCCCGTACTGGAGAGGAAAAGCTGGTGGTTACCACAGACTGAGCAGTCTTTCTCCATAGTCAGAGCGAACATCGTCATATCCATGTGATCCCCCAAGGAGGCGTTCAAATGGAAGCAACCGACCGACGCGTGAGTTGAAATCTGCCATAATGATGATGTCCGTTTTAGGTGCCCTTAGGAGCAGATCATGAAGACTTTGATAGAACTGGTCCTTGACTATATCCGAGCTGCAGTCAGTGTGGGCATAGGCGATCACAAAAAGCACGTTTATCGGCTCGACGTCTGCTAACCTTACAGAAGTCACGGAGCCTAATACCACAGATGGTGTACACATGTACAACCTCACGGGTAGAGCTGGAGCACTTACCTAATAAATAATAATAATAATAATAATAATAATAATAATAATAATAATAATAATGTATCAGCTGTACGCCGTAACGGCGCTTTGCTGCCGCGCGACCACTACCAGTCGCGCGCGGGCTGAGTATACCGCGAGGACGCCCACCCCTACGCGGATTCGAACCGGTGACCTTATGGTTGCAAAGCAAACGTGCAGACCACTCGGCCACCGGCCGACCAGCACTTACCTAGTCTCAGATAATGCCTTCGTGCGTGCCTGACAAGAATCAATCCGTTAAGCGAGGGCACAAGTAGTACGCCAGTAGGTCATGCCAAGGCTTGGCCACCATGCGACTATCGGCAGTATATATGGTTGGCGGTATCCGGTTTCGGATTTGCCTGTCACTGTGGCCAGCCACAAGACACCTGCGCTTACAGAGGGACTATGGATGATTTGCGCTGCATTACGCACAGCTGCATCCACACACCCCATACCCAGTGTAAACCGGAGAGAATAAGACCGGTAGACATACGGATAGGAGTCACGTTTTTTTCAACGGAGCCGGCCCATACTCCTACAACATGCACAGCAGCAGCATTCCTGTTTAGCTAGATGGATAATCATGCGGACCAGACAGACACAAAACGGTTGTGAAGCCGTAGCCTGCACCACACTAAATGGAACCATCCTTTGAGCCTAGCATGGTCACGAGGACCGTACACCCTATCCCCTAGCAAAGATTAGCAGCTTCCTGAAGCCAGTAATAGAGGTGGAGGGTGTTGGACAGGTAGGCACCTTGTCAGCATTCACATCAAGCGCAAACACACCAGGGTTATCGAGCAACAGTCAGTACCTGAAATGCAAGGTACTCAACATGCAAGTATACACAGAGACCAACTGCAGCGTACCACATCAACCGCACTATTGACCTGTGTTAGTAAATGCAGTTGAATCGGAAACCGCGTACTTACTAAGCGCTGTGCTGATGAGGATTACTTATTCAACTGACTCGTAGTCTGTAAGATGTTGGACCCGCATGGCGATGCTGTTGGATTACAAAGCCGGCATGGCTCAGGCACTCGTGACTGTATGTGCTACAGTACCATGCGTTCGACTTCGATGGCATACCCTCCATCGGCGCCTGCCGTTTCCGTAGCTTCCGCATTCAACAGTGATTGCTCGTGCATCTGGGCAACAGCTCTCTTGATAAGCTCACGCCAATGGCACCAGCAACTGCCTTTGATTAGCAGGATCTGAAAGCAACATTAGTTTGTGATAAATTCACCTTGATCATGTCCTGGTAACGCAAGTTCGGTATTCCCACGTTTCGATTCCCTACACTAAGTAGTCCATATAGCAGTAACTTGGGCCTCTGCCTCGAATCCATGCATACGATATGTCCGACCCAACTCAGGTGCCGCAGCAGAAGTACGCAGTCCACCGCATACATGTCACTGTGGCGCAGCACTTCCGTGTATGAAAATTGCTCACCAGGAACTGTTGGTAAAAGTGTTCCAGAGAACGCACAACCTTGTGATAAAGCGTTCACGTTTCGTTGAAGTATAAGACGGACAGCACCACAGAAGGGCATACATTCAGCTTCAAGCCAACAGTACGCTGATGATTCCTTCACACATGACATTCTAGCTTGCCAAATGCAGCAGCCGCCATCCATATGCGGATGCGCAGCTCGCGCATTATCTGCAGTTCGGTCGAAAGTGGCAAAAGCTGTAAGGTGGTTTTCAAAACCTCGGTACCAGCAGGCCCATGGATTACATTCCGTGTGAAGGCTGAGAAAGACAAACAGTCTTAATGGTGAGCCCGAA